CTCCGTATTCTCCAATTTCCTTAATATTCGTAGGTTGGAGAAGTGTTCCCTCTATAAATTTCAGTGGCCCTTTTGTAGCACACCTCTTTGTGTACTACAAAAGCCTGCTCCGGTCTTGAAACTTTCTGTAAGTCGTCGTATCTTCTCGTAGAATTTTTGAGCATTACCCTTGTCGGCTAGCTTCTCAAGCTCTTCATACTCACGCATTTCGGCCTCTTTCTTTTTTTGTCTGCAGAAGCGTCTTGCTTCCCTCTTCATCTCTCGGTATCTATCCCATCCCCCGCACGTGTTGTGGTCGATCGCAAGGTTGCGAGGTAGTGCGACACGGCAGTTCTCATCGTACCAGCTGTTTTTGCGACCTTTACGAAATCCAATAGTTTCATTTGCAGCTGTACGTAGGGAGCTTGAAATGCCGTCCCACAGTTCCCGTATACCAAGTTGCTGATGAGTGCTCTAAGCTTTTCAACGTCGAACCTCCCTTGTGTCTATTGACGAGCGTTCTTCGAAGCACAGAGACGCATGCGTATCTGCTACAACAAGATAATAGTCCGAGTCGATGTAGGGTCCTCGGAGTGTACGCACGTCAAGAACACTGGATACATGTCTTCCGTCTATCACAACATGATCAATCTGGTTTTGTGTTTTTCGATCAGGTTGATGTATTTTTTTGTGGTGGTATCTAGTACTACAGACAACCATATTTCAGGCCCGGCGAAGTCGATCAGCCTCAACCCATTAAGGGACGTTTCATTGTGAAGGCTGAATTGTCCAACAGTCCAACCAAAGATACCTTATTTGCCTACCCTGGCTCGTAAGTATGCTCTAGGCCCTCGGAAGTGAAAGCGCCTTATTGTAAGGTAGGCCAAAATGAATGGCTTCTGTCAGGTAGCGAGATCTCGTTTCAGTTTCCTCGTCACTATTGACAGTAATAACTTTAAAGTCCTAGATCTTGGAACATGCAGTTGAAAAGTAAATTCCTTTATCGACAAGTTAAAACTGATCTCTATTATTTCTATGTTGTTATTGTTGTAGCGGTTCACTAGTCCTGCTTAGGGACAGGCTAGTTAGTATAAGTCAGTTTCCAGGGTACGGATGCGTCGGTTTTAGGAGCATATAAAGAGGTTAGAGTCGTCTGAGGACGCATAACACGCGGATCATGCTTTGGATATAATGGTGTCAAGTCTGGAAAACTAGGAGCTTAACCTGCTACTACGCGCTCTTCATCTGCCTACCTCCCACTCCGAATACGCCATTCGCTGGAAGAAATTATTCGAACTCGGTAACTGACTCCTGGTGAATAGAGTACAGACAGGCACGCCGTCCAGTCCAGCGGTTGTTGTACATATTACTGTATAGTGTTTTGTGAATCTATTGTAGTATTCCCTTTTTAATGTGGCTGAGCTCTGCCTGAGGTTCAGCCTCTATTAGATGGCTGTTGATCGCATTTTTTATACTCCTTAATTCGTAACAGTGAAGCTCAAACGACATTAGTATGTTTTCCCTTGCAGTCCTAAGGGCAGTGTTTTGGCAAGCTTGTAGCTCCTTCAACTGCGTCTCGTTCGTCCCCGGTACCCAAGTCGGTGCAGCAGAATTAACGGCCGGCCAGTTAATTACTTTGTAGGTTTTCAGTAAAGTTTCTTTGTTGTCGGTTGGCCCTTTGAGTATTTTGTTGCGTCTCTGAAGTTTTGCGGCAATTGCGGTCGTATGCGGAGTGAAGGAGTACAGCCTGTCAAGTGTGACTCCCAAAATCTTGGGGTTATTTATGGTCGGATATTTCGCGTCATCAACCTTCATATCTAATTCGAGCCTGTATTCCTTCGTCCAGCTGGTGAAGAGGGTAGCCGAAGATTTCGTCGGTTATATTTTAAGTTGTCTTGCAGTGAAGAAGTGGGACAGGTTGTCGCAAGAACTTTGCCAACGAGTGAAATATATGGTTGAACTGCCATATGTTTGTTCAGTCAATTAGGTGGCTCCGGCTATGTAGCGCAATTTTTTAAGTGGCACCAATTTCATTATTTCAATGTTTTCTGGTGTAACTCCCTTGAAAACCGTTGAATTATTTGGAGTTAGGAGTTGAATTGATTGAATTGAATTGATTTAGCCGTGTCCGTCAGTCTGTCTGAGCGTCAGTTGATGAGTGAACAGTGAACAGAACAGAATATTGCTCCGTACAATATATTTTGCGCGCCAAATATTTTATATTACGTGTTGTATTATTCATAATGAGTGAAGAGATTAAATTCATTTATATTACTCGTTTACGTAGTAGAAGTCGCAGTACATATTTTTATTCTCGATTGGGCAACGCTTTAGTGAATGATTTCAACAAATTCGGAAAATGTTGAAGAAAATCTTGCATTGAACGACTACGACGATGGTGATGATGTAGATATTTAGATTATGTGCTGGATGTTGACGCATCAGATGTTGAAAACGATTTGGTTATTGAACCGAACGAAATACTGGACAGTGATGAGGAAATTGAAGACGAAGAACAACATGCAACCGCTAAAGTTATTCAACGTAAAGCTACGGCCGAAAGTTTCTTTGGTAAAGATGGCACAGAATGGGAAAAGGAGCAAACCCCAAGCCGTACGCGCCAGCATAATATTATGCGATTCAGACCTTGTCCAAAACTTTCAACATCGGTTCCGATTGAGGTATTCAAAAGCTTTTTACACCAAATATTTCATTCATTATTATTACCGAAACAAATGGAAATGCAAAAATTGCTACTCAAAAATGGAATGAAGAAAATCCAGATTCAAAGCGAAGAGTGTGGGTTGATTTGACTAGTACTGAGCTTGATGCATTTATTCGTATACTTTTTGCTGCTGGTATTACAAACAATAATATGCAAGAGTCAGCACTTTTATGGCGTTCAGATGCTTTGCCCATCTTTCGTGATGCTTTATCATATAGACGACTCCTGGCATTGGCTCAAATCCAGTTTGTGTAAAGCATTCGAAAACCAATTATACATGTTTTGCTTGCGTTCCACAGACCGATGCTAGTTAGTATCAAATTTCATAAGAAAATCCATTCAAATCCGTATACATTTGTCCAAACAGTATTGGAATGACTCATATAAATAAAGCATAAAAAAAGCTAAACAAATGTCTTGTTTTTTCCATTCCAAATATCTTTGTTCCTTTTTTATACAAAATTGTAGCTAAACATGTGCCCAAAGATATAAAAAGGTAAGGAACGAATAATATATACCTGAAAACTACATATGAGCCTATCCATATAGTACTTTTTCTCATATAAACCTATATAAATATATAGGGGTCTGGCCAGACACCAGGTGTCGGACGAAAATATATAAAGTGTAGTGTCGGACGGAGGGTTAAGCATATCATCAAAAAGTTTAACCAAATCGAAGCAAAAATATGTATTCTTTTTTTTCAAATAAATCGGCACACTTTCTGTTAAAAGAATTTCCGTTAACAGGTCTATTCTGTCGAAGTAACAAAATTTACTGAATGGTAAATTTTAATACGAAGTAAATACTGTTAGCTCGATAGAATTCAGAGTTCACTGTCACCCTGTAAATTTTGTTACCAGCGAAATATGAGGTAACAAACAATCTGCTGTTCGATTTTGTATTTTTAGTTTGAGAAAAAATTAGAACCTAAAAGGGTAGGCATATTTTAGGCCTGGAATTCATTGGAGATGAAGAAAGTAGTAGAAAAAGGCGTATTTTAACAAGTTTTCGAGACAAAAATAGCCCTTTAATTTGTAAGATTTCGTTTTCATACAGCTTTTTTTGTCGTTTAGGCATATTTTCCATAATTAGGTTCAAATATTTATGATTTAATAAACAAACTAATAAAACTTTTTAATTTTTTGTGCATCGTCTTCCATTTCGATGTGAATATCTTTCCTTTTACTTTATCAACTGGCAAATGTAATTTGACATGGACAAAAAAAGCAGTGCTGCCAAATTTTTTGCAAACATTGTAACCAGTTCGCCAGAATACCAAATTCTATTACGGGTGTTAAGAAAGGTAAAAAAATTTAATTTACCGGTAACAGTGAGAATATGCCTGCCTAATCGAACCATAAATATGATGTTTTCGATAAGGTTAACTCCTGGTCACAGGAATTACATACATATATAAATAAACAAAAAGATGCTCGGTAAGGCTTCCGAGTAGTTTTGGAGTTCCTAGAAAACAAGGAAGCAAACAAACAAACGTATTTAATATTATTCATTATGCAAAATCGAGCCTTAGTTTGGTAGTTTTCCAATATTTTTAATTTCAATTTATTTATTTTTAAAAATCTAATTTTCCTTACCATAGCAAAGACCTGAACTCCTTTTCCAGCTAACTAAACTCGCTATGATTCCACCAAATATTATATATGTGCGTGTATATTTCCATTCTTGCACACACATTCAAAGCAAATAAAATGGTCACAACAACGCCAACAACTAAATACTGAATGTGATTTATGTTTATATACATAAATATTTGGGATATCAGCAGTTTACCGATTCAGCTTTTTCCCCTAAACGAATATGACAGCTGCAGTGATACGTGCTCTGCATGATATGTGAAGTGCATATGGTATGTAGGTATGTATGTATGTATGTATGTACTTTGGATGAGTACTTGTACTCGTGTACGAGTATATAGAAAAATGGAACCGGCAGAGCAACAAGTTTTTAAACAAATTACAATTCTTGCAACACTCCAGATGTGTAACAAATGCATTTGATTGCACAGCATTTTACATATCAATTCGATTGGAAAGGAAATGCAATGAAATATGTAATTGTGTGTGGCATGCGCTGACTGTAATATGCGAAATATGCATTATATGCAAATACTTGTAAGAGTGCAAATGTGGCATAGTGTGTGTGCATTAATTTCAAATACACTTATACACATTTATTTGCTATGCACTTGCACGTATGTATGTATGTAAATAAAAGCAAATTTTTATTTATTTGCGAGTGGCGCTGCGTATCAGTAATTTACTTGTAGTATAAAAAGTGCACTGACCAACTGCTCACAATTGCAGTAGCCCAAGCGCTGTAACAGCAGTCGCAGTCCCTGAATACTTAGATTAACGGATTGCAATAATAAAAAAAAATAATCACCGGCACAGCCAAGAGACGGCATAACCTCGAAAAAAAAAACTAAAAAAAAATATGAAAAAAGTAAGTGTTAAATTTTATGACTCAAAAATCAACTGATTTACACAATTTTCACTTTTCATCTCTACCCTTTTGCTTTCTCTTCCATCCGCCAGATTATTTTTTTGCTCTGCTGCAGCGTTTTTCTGCATAGCATTAGCAGCGCGCCGGCACCAGCTCCCGCACCTCATGGCATCACCACCACCACCATCACTCCGAGTTATACTGTTGGAGTCGGTCTTACGCCCGTCGTCACGGCGCGCAGTCATCAAGTGGTCGCACACAATTACCATGGCCTCTACGTGCCCACCGCAACCACCACCGTTGGCTATGTGCCCGCGAGCTATGTACCAGCCGTAGCTGCATATCCTGGTTATACTGCAACAACAGGCTACCGTTACGGTTACGGTTATTACCCAGCTTACGGCTATAGCTATGGCTATGGGTCCGCTGTGCCCACGACGACGGCCTTGTGGTGATGATGTGTTAACGCTAATATGAGCAAAGCTTATGTGGGCGAGACGAGTTTTGTATGAGCGCATGTGTATGTGAGTGTGTGAGTGTAGGAGTGTGTAGGAGCGTGTATTTGTTTGAAGTGCGGATTTGCCAGGATACGCGCTGCTGAGTTGATGAGTTTGTTTTACGTAAAATGGTGAAGCAACCGCTTGATGTGCTGCACTCTTATCTGCTGAAATATACATTTTTTTTATTACTATTTTTTTTGTTGTTTTTGTTTTTGTTTTTTGCTTTGCACTTGATGTGGTCTGATATCCGTTAGCCGGAGCTGATGTGTTGATGTGGTAGGACAGGCTGGTTGATTTATAAGGAACTCATACAATAAGCTTTAATGTTATGCGGTAGCAGCGACGGTGGGGTGTGGCAGGCTTGTGTGTGCAAACGTTACTTGGTATGGCAAATCTCTGGAGCCGACAAGCCTCTAAATATGTATACATATATGTAATATTATGAAAGATGTACTATTTTGCATTTTAAATAAATAAATACGAAACGAATCAAGGAATTTTCACATTAGCCGCTGAGGGAATGTAAAAAGTTTCTGGTTGTTGTTGCAAAATCCTGAAAATCTCCCGCATTTCTTCAGTAAATGTTGCTTGGAGTGACAAGCCTTGGCCGGACATACACCAACTTATGTATTTCCGGTACGCAAAAACGTCTGCATTGAGAATAGTTGTTGGTATTTCGTGGTAGTCTTCAGTGTGCAATTTTAATTAGCTGAAGCACAGAATGTGGCCAGGGTACGAAAAAAGAATTTGCTGGGCAACGAAAATTAAATTTCCATGTTAAAAATTAAAAAAAAGAAAGAAAATTGAATGTGATCAATGAAATGAAATTAGCGGAGAGAATCTATTGTACAATCTTTAGAATCATTCATTCGATCAGAACTAAGCATAATTATGTCGCTTATAGTCCAACACCGAGCACCGCTCAATTTTTTTTTATCAGAGCTAGAATTCATTATATTATTAAATTTTAAGGATATTCGGATCTTCAAAATAATTTGGCGACGATTTTAATATTTGCTGCACATATTTTAAAGCTACGCTATTACTTGATCAGCTGTTGTCGTTAGCTACTCGGCAAGTCGCTAATTAAACGACGACTATTTGGATGCAATTTTCTAATTGCGGTCGCCCCTCTAATGGGAAAGTTAACCCCTCCGAGTGTATTTCTGACATGAAACAAAGCTCCTCTTAAAAAAACCATCAGCCGTTCGGAGGGGGCTGAGTATTAACTGTAGGCCCCTCCATTGGTTGGAAAAACATCCAGACGTAAAACCACAAATTGGAGGAAGAGCTCGACCGAAAATCGCTTCAGCGGTGCAAAGCGCAAATAATATATTTCTATATTAATATTTTGATGCATTCGACAAAGTACGAGGGGATTATCAAAAGTTCGGTAAGTTCTTCAGAAAAAAAAACAAAAAAAAAATATTTTTGTATTTGTTCGGAATCTGATTAACTTGAATCAATGCACTTCTGAAAACGATCCTGATCTTGATTTGTAAGCTTATGTCGTTGCTATTAAAGACCTTTCCTTTAAATAAAGGTGCTTTATCCTGGGAATATGGGAATATGGCGCTGGACGTAATTTTTCGATCCCAGAAATAGCAATAAAATTATTCATTATTTCAGCAGTGTGGGGTGGCGCGTTGTCTTGATGCAAAAAGTAGTGCCGCAAATCATCTTTAATATTGTTTTCATGTTTTTTTTTCCATTTTGCAGTTACCGTCTGGCCTTTATCCAGTGGAGCAGCAGCTGAAATTTTAGATCGGATGAAGTAAACTGACATCATTAATTTTGTTGCTTAGATATTAGGGGTGGGTTTGCTCGTGTTGGGCTCCATACCATGGAGTGCTGTTCGGTTTTAGGATTGAACTGATAGAAAAAAGATTCGTCATCAGCAAAGACTGTATTAAAGTGTCTAGTCTGACCAATTATATTTAGATATTTAGGAATTAGAATTGAGCAAAATGCACTCGAGCCTCTTTTTGGACCTCATTTGAAATCCGTGGTAGGCATCGAGCAGATTTCATCGTGTATCCCAAAGGATTACTTAATATTCACGATACAGCGTAATGTCCCAATTTAAGCCCAATTCATTAGTGATCATTTTTTGTGTCAATCGGGGGATCTTCGATATTTTCGGACTTCACCAAAGCTACAGTTACGTCGTCAGCGGAAGATTTTGATCGAGCTTCTCGCAGCTCGTCCTTGACGTAATAATTTTCGGTCTATAATCTTCGGAACCACTTATAAATAGTCTTTAAAAGCGATGCAATCGTTCAATATGCAATTTGTCATGCTCTGAATATTTATATAGGCTGTAAATTACGCCTTGTCTTTTGTCCATAAGCCACATGGTCATATTTAGATCTTTTGGGACCCCAATCCTATCTTAATGCAACCTATTAGTGGCCACTCCATTGACCTCTCCATTCCCTGCCTGATTGAACGAGTTTTTATTTCACATTTATTTTCGCATATACTGCTTATTTATATTATATATGTATGTATATTAACAATATACTAAATAGTTGTTAAATCTGAAGAAATAATACAGTTCTGCTCTCATATCCTCGTCTGATTGACGTGGCTATGGTGTAGCATTCAAAGCACCAACCCTTACGCTCTCCCGACCGAGCTACGTGGTTTATGGACGCTCTTTTACATTTGTACATCTCAAGTTTTTGGCGGTAAATAATAAATATATAGGAGTGTGGCACGATTCATTGAATTTACAGTGCGAACAGTGATGCAGCGTAGCTTTGAAAATGGAAACCTCAACTTTCCAACTCATATAATAAAAATATTTGACGACACGAATTTTCTTATTTTTCTCTTTCTTCTTTGTGCTTTTCGCGTAGTTTGATTCTTTATTAAGTTGTTTTGGCACCTGAGGCCTGAAAAAGCTTAAATGTTTATTATTTTTAATTCTTTCCTCCAAGTTTTTAATTTCTTTTCTTCAGAATTCAGAATTTTTGATTTCTGCAAGGCTAATGTAAATAGCCAACCTCATTATTAACGGTATTCTTTCTTATATTTCACAGATTTTATAAAAATTTTATGGAAAATTTTTTATTATTATATTATGAATTGTAAATTTCTTGAAAATATAATGTTTATATCACAATAAATCATTTGTTTTATTAAAATTTTTACTCAAAGGGAGACGCTTAAAAATTCTTATGTTTATAATAATAAATTCTCATATTTATCATAGTTTGTAAATTTTTAAAATTAAAAATTTCAAGTTTGTGGCAAACTTTCTCAAATTGCTTCCCAAATGAGTCCTTACGGTATTTCTATTTTATTTTATTTTTTTTAATTCAAACTTGAGCAAAAAGTCTTTTCAATTTCTTCAGTCTCATACTGGTTTTGCAGCCACATTTATTTTTATTAACTTTCTCTGCACTTAATAAATTCAAAATTTTGCTTATTCATCAAGATTTACATTTTATCAAGATTTTTGTATTCTGTATCATAAATAAAAAGCTCTTTTCTATTTTTACTGTTTGTGCATAATGCTGAATAACAAATTATAAGAAAGGAAGATGCATATTTTTGCTATATTTTTGTTGGTGAACGAAGAGGAAAATGGGATCGCTCGCGTCACTTAGGAAGAAGAGACTCTAGTTATCCATTTTGTCATTTGCCGTCATCTCATAGACGAACTGGCCCCACGTGATATCCGAAAAACCTCACTGTATTTAATCATAAGAGTGCTGGTAGCTTTAAGTTTCTTTGGGTAGGGCTCATACCAAAAGTTTGTAGGCAACAACTTTGACTTGCCCATGAACCAGTCGCTTCTTTCCAGAAATTTGCTTATTTAAAGATGTAGAGAGGAAAATTAAAATTTCCCTTTTCTACAGAAGAAGGAACTAATGTAAAATCAGGGTATTTGCATTACAAAACCGCTGGAGCTAATTTATCTCAAAAGTATTCCAGTTTTAGAAAATTCGGCATAAAAAGCACAATCGGAGCAATTGATTGCACGCATATTGCATCCAGATATATTTCATCCCTATAGTTATTAAAAATCAAAATGCAAACAGTTTCACGTAAACTTTCCAAATATATGTGCTACAATTACGTAAAACAACTATATATATTTGTTAATTTATTTTTCCTTTATTCTAAAAGAAATAATGTTAGCAAAAACAGCTGATTTCTTTTTACATTTCATTGTTCACCACACGTGTGGGGAAAAACACAACAAACGGAAGCTTTATATTTTATCAAGATTGACACAGAATACCAAATAAATTCTTGCTTGATAGAAATCTTCATAAATAACCAATATTTTCTTAATTTGTCAAGTGCACAGAATAGGGCCGATAGTTGATAGTAATAAAAACAAATAGTAATAGTTTTTATTCCTTGTTATTTTACCAAATTGCTTTAAAGTATTTATAAGCCGGTGGCAACCATGTGTGTTTGATATCAAAATTATTAGTTGACATTGGTCAGTTTGTTTGAACGTAATTAGTAGATGGCAACCCTATGAAAAGATATTTTCCACTGTTTCAAATTCCTTTCATTTGATAGCCATAGTGTTTTGTTTTTTGCCTTAAAACCTTCAAACAGTTTTATAACTTTAAGCTTTTAAGTAAAATTTATTTATATATACATATATATATAATATAATTGGTTAGGTAGCCGCTGGAGCGATTTTCAGCCGAGCTTTTCCTCCAATTTGTGGAGTATGTCTTGATGATTTTCCATGAAATGGACTGAGCGACTGATCGGATTTTATAAGAAACCTTTATTTCATGCCAAAATTACATAGGGAGAGGTTGGTTTTCCCTGACGAGGGGCAAACGCATTAAGAAAAATAGTTTATATAAATCTATTTTCGCTTCTAATGTCATTTCTAGCCATCGTTTTTTTCAAGAATCACTTTATTTTAGACAACTTTTAGAGGGCACATCCTAAATTCTGCCAATATAAATATTCAAAATCCTCTTTCTTCGGAACACTTTCAAATTTATTATACATAAAATTTAACTTATCAGACTTTTAACAAATTTATCACTTTGCGCTTACCATAAAAGCGGTGCTGGGGCAGCGTAGTGAACAGAGCTCAATGGAGCGACGAAAGGCGCAGCGTAACGGGCAATGACTGGAGCAGCAGCAACGACGGGAGCAGCTGCAATACCATCGTAGTTGCGAGCGATCACTTGGCTACTGGTGGCGGTCACTACCGGTGCTGGGGCAGCAACGACAGCGGCAGGAGCAGCATAAGCCAAAGGAGCGGCGGCTAGAATGTGAGGCTTGGCAACAGCGCAGGCGGTGGTGTTTAGAAAAAAAACTTAAAACCACATTTATTTAAAAAAAAATTGGAAGTAGAAGCTAAAAAAACTTACGTATCTGAACATTTTTTCTTCACTGCACTTGACTGGCGTATGATAGGAAGGTTGAAAACTGTTTGAGATAATTTTTCAAATCGAATGGAATTTTTATACCAAATGCAGAAAGAGCAAAAAAAAATATATGTATATATTTTGGTTTTATTTAATTTTCAAGTTCAGCAGAAAATGTCCTTCAAAGACGATTTGAATATAAACACATATTTTTCAAAACTGAAAAAGATTTAACTAAAATTTACGGCGCAGGTTTTTGGACAAACTTCATTGTAATTCAATGCCAACAATTTTTTTGTTTTTTGTTTTTGCATTACATTTTTGAACTAAATTAATATGCATGCACGCGCATAGCTGTAAATTACCCAAAAATTGTTATGCACATGTGTGTGTGAGGCTAAAGGAATGCTCTGTTTTTTGTTGCTGTCGTTTGTTTGTTTGTATAAAATGCGGGCAGAAAAAACATCGATGATTCATTCAATGCTAGTGCCATTTAAATATATGCATAACTGAATAGCTCGTCGTCATGTAAATACTTTCATATACACCTACATTTGTAAGAGGGTAAGTATAAAAATATAATTAATTTTGACAAATGTTTTTATTTTCGAACAAGACATAATTCAAGCAACAGCCAAATTGCAGTACGCAAATAAAAAAATGTTCAAACCCGTAAGTTTTTAGTGACGTAAACCCTCATTAAACTATTATAATTATTTGTAAGCATTCCAACGCTTTTTTGATACTCAGCGGCCTCTTCTCTTCGCTCTCATCGCTTTCGTTGCCGCCGAATCTGGATTCTTTGCCGCACCGGCTGCTGTTATGGCCGCTGCTAGCAGCCAATGGATCGGGAGGATGCAAAATGGCATTGCCGCTACTCCTCCCGTTGCTGTTGCCCCAGGTCTTTCCCGCTACGCCATTTCTACTCCTTTGGTCGCACCAATCGCTTTCGCTAACAACGTTGCTCCATTTGCTGCTGCTTCTTTCTTTTGGTAAAACATTTTTATGAATTGTTCTGTTAGCAAAAATGTGTTATAAAAAATTTGAATAAAGTATTTATTAATTTAATTAAATGTTAATTAAGCATAAACTTAAATTACATTTTTTCCTTTACGACTTCTGAAAACTTTAGCTTCAGATTTTTTATAGGAGTTTTCATCTTCGTAATCTTCGGTGGCTTAATGATATCACTCCATTGTATTTGTTTTAACGGTTTGCTAAAGTCCTATTATGGTCAGGCAAAGTCAGCCTATGTCGTCGAGGTCATCCAACGGAGGATCCAGGAAACGTGCTGCTTCGCGGATTCTGACCAGTGGGAGGGGAGTGTAAGATGAATTTTTGTGGGCCGTTGTGAGTATGCAAAGAGGTGGTTAGTGTCATGCGGGGAATAATTGCGTGCGGGACATACGCAAACTCACTTGATTTGATACACTAGAAAGCAAAAAATTATCGTATCTTCAAAATGAAATTTAGGAACTGCTTTTCGCATTCGACGAAGCATGGTCACCGGAAGATATTTCCACTTGCTCATCGCGGCGCTTCAAATATAATAAAGACTCTATTCTGAATCTCCGAATTGAGTTCCGCGCTTAAGAGATTTCCCGGATGATATTGGTAAGGGCAGTCGCTCCTTGGTGCTTCCGCTGCTCCCGAAGCAAAATTTTCACGTTTTCCTTTGGCAGCAGCTACGACTGTTCTGCGGAAAAGGTGTTCACGAGAAGAAACGTCAGTTGAAGTGGAGAGAGCCTTAAAGTAAATTCGGTGATAGCGAACTATCAGATTTTTTGAAATTGATAAATGTCTTGTTATCCGCGAAAGCGGAATTGTAAACCCTGACAGACCAAATTTCGCGGTTCTCGTTAAAGTCGCAAAAACCAATCAGTTTTTGCACCTATCGGCAGATGCTTCCGTCTTATGAAATCGAGTACGTCGTTGATCTTACCCTGAAATCCGTGGGGAAGAATAGTCAGTCTCGTGAGAGTGTTCGTAAGAGAGTGTTCGAGAGGACTCGTAAAATATAAATGATTACCCTAACATGAATAGCTCTCTAATCGGTTACTGGTGCCAACGTCATCTTTCCCGTTTTAATCAATCAATTGTAGTCCCGGTTACTTATTATCACTTATTACTTTTCAAACACTTTACTTATTAGTTCGAACATGGCTCGAATTATTTAATAACCCTGTTTATCTTGGGATTGTTGGGCTTATTACTAAATTATTAAAGGTTGAATCAACGCCACAACCTGTTTTCTACAGGCATTACCTACTGATGACTACCAGAGTTCATTCTCTTTTTCGTAAGCACTTCTTATTTAAAAGTTGAAGCTCTTTTGCAGTGCGTATACCACGTAATCCTGATCAGAGTGGTCTAAGAATTTATTTCATCCGACGCTCGTAGGCCTTATAAAACCGTCGGTACTTAAAGGTTGTCGCACAACCCCAAAACACACTCCACAAATTGGTGTAAAAACTCATTTTATGGTGTAAAACTTTGTAGCTGCTCAATTCAGCTCCATTCGTGATAAATTCAACACAGTTTATTAATTTGTACTAAAATATTTTTTATTTCACACAGAGATCAACAATGTTTACCACAGGGGTGCAGCTAAAGGGGCGGCAGCGTAGTGTGACAAGACTGGAGCGGCGAAGGGTGAAGCGACGTAAGAGGCAGCAGCCAAGGGTGCAGCAAGAGGAGCAGCGGCAGCATAACGCGCAACAACAGGGGCGGCTACTGGAGCGGTAGCAACAACGGGAGCAGCGGCGATACCATTGTAATTGCGGGCTATCACTTGACTGCTGGTGGCGGTCACAACGGGGGCTGGAGCAGCGACAACAGCAGCGGGAGCAGCATAAGCCAAGGGTGCTGAGTCAAGGATACCGGGCTTAGCGGCAGCGCATGCTATGAGAGCGAAGAGTACAACGGTCTAAAGGAATAAAAAATATTTTTTTTAGAAATAAAATTGAGAGGGTTTTTCTATTATTAAAAACTTACATATTTGAACATTTTTGTAACGTTTTATTGGCGATAGTTGCTTGATAGAAATCTAGACTTTGATTGATACAAACTTTTTGCTGGAGTTAGCCTTTTATAGTATTCCTCAACGAACGTAACGCATAAAAGTTCACAATATGTGTAAAACTGACATTGCAATGACCTTCGAAGCTAAGGCAAATTTAATGCATAATATACAAACAAAATATTTGTCTAAACTTTGATGCCTCCCTCTTATTAAAATTCACTCCATCTCGCTATTTTGCATGTCTTTGAACCAATCAGCGGTTTGCCGCTTTCGCTACTGAACTGGTGAATGGTCAGTAGCACTCACGTGCTGCCCGCGTTTTGCGGTTATTCGCTGTAAATACATAAATCAGACCATCTGATGCATTTGTAATCGCGGGAATTTAAATAGTTCCGAAATTAGCAAAAACTAACTCTTGAATGCATTTGAAAGTTATTTATTTGTATTAAACCTGTACCATTGTAACAGACTCATTGAAATGTATGGCCCATCAGTCACAAATAAAAATTATATCAGCTAAGTTTAGATAGCTGAACTATAAATATTTGACAAATTTTGCTAACAGGTATCATATCATCTTTAATTCTCCTTTGAGCAACAGCAGCACCAAGTAAAGCCAAACACTTCAACATGTTCAAATACGTAAGACGCAAACAAAATTAAAATCCTGTAAGAGTATCAAGAAATATAAATTTAATTTATGCTTTCAGGCCGTTGTTCTCTTCGCTCTCATCGCCTGCGCTGCTGCCAAGCCTCACCTTCTAGCCGCTGCACCTTTGGCTTATGCTGCTCCTGCCGCTATTGTTGCCGCTCCTACTCCCGTTGTGACGGCCACCAGCAGCCAAGTGATCGCCCGCAATTACAATGGTATAGCCGCTGCTCCCGTTGTTGCTGCCGCTCCAGTAGCCGCCCCTGTTGTTGCGCGTTATGCTGCCGCTTCTCCTCTTGCTGCTGCCTCTTACGTCGCTTCACCTTTCGCCGCTCCAGTATTGTCACACTATGCTGCCGCTCCTTTGGCTGCTCGTTTGTTCTAGGAGATTCTGATTTGTATAGGAAATTGGAAAAAATAAATTAAGTGCCAAACAAATGTTATTGATTTTTTTATTATACCCCAGAGGTACGACTTCTTAGTGGTGTCATCAATCCGGACATGGCTCAGCCAAAGAAACAGCAGAACTGCCGATATTCAAAGGATTTTTCATTATGCAAGCTGAGTTTTTTGACAACTGAAAGATATATCGTGTTGTCAAAAGTACCGCACAACGCCTTGACATTTTTGAAACTACTACAAAAATGGTGATACAAACGTCTCTAAGTTTCGTGCTTTAATAGAAAATTATGGTTCAGGCAATCGTCCAACTTTGAAGAGACAGGATTGGTTACAGATATAGCCATCGTTTTGCGAGTTTCAAATCCAAACTTTATATATTGCGATATTGCTGTAAGCGATCATGTAGCTGAAAACCCGAATGTGCCTATTTCTCGACGTTTTCAAATGCTGCGACCTGGACCATGGACCTGGGCGTACACCTGCATCCGTATAAAGCCAGCTCATACCCCTCCAAAGAACAATTGAAATTTCGGGATGCGCATCTAAGCGAAATTCTCTAATAGGGGTCTCCAAAAATCCTCAAATATATTAATAGAGACCATTACACCCAAAAAAAACTCACTTTCTGGTACTCTTTTGGTCCGGGGTTATGATTGGATCTTCCTTTTTTGTAATCGACAACCGCGAGACTGACAGTGTAAACTCGGAACGTTGTGGTTGTATGTGAATTAGCAATACATATGTGGTGTCAACAAGATGGCCGCGCAATTTCTCCCCTGGGAGATGTCAATTGGCCACCGAAGTCGTGTGATTCGACCACGTTGCACTTTTTGTGGAGCCACGCGAAAGACCGTGTTTATGCGAATATCGCCCTATATGTGCCAAAAAGTGGTCGAAAACTACCTCAAAACTACGAAGTTTGCACAAATTCGCGAGACGGTTATTTAAATGTTGTAGCATATCAAATCTCAAGGTTTAAGCTTTAAAATAAAAAAAGGACTTCCATTAAAAAATATTTAAATACATTTTATTTTCGAAACCGCAAAATGGATAACTGGTATAAAAAATTTCTTTCTTTTAAATGACTGCTGCAGTACTTATCAGAAAGACTTACTCTCCGACCTTCTTTTCTCGTTCATTTCATTTCTTAGACGGCGGTAAAGACGGGGCACCTGCTCAATGAAGTAACTATATATTTCAGGAGCATGCCTAAAACTGATTTCAGTGGACGTCGCCAAAAGTGGAGTTTCCAATCCGACACCTCTTTATACATATATTTTCATTGTAGCTAAGATTTACCTGGCGGGTTCCAAGTCTAGGGCATAACATTCGTGAGCTCGAAAATATGAGTTAAAGAAATGAGTATAGCGATCTGTACATCATGGAATAAAAATTGCATATCCCAAAGTAAGACTACTTTCTATTGGTTCTCTAGATTTTGCCTATTGAAAAGGAATAAATGTACAATATTCCCTAAAGTTTCAAAAATACTTATGAAATTATTTTCGTAAGAATTTGTTGCAGCCAAACCTGAAAACGTTGACTCAGAATATTTTTAAAATTTTATATGTAGACAGTCAGCTTAGATAAAATAATATATTTTTGCAATTTGTTAAAATTATTTTTTTTTTCCATTTTTTTATATCTGGATTTGTAAATTTACGAATTTTATTTTTGAAAAAAACATATAATGCAACTTAAAGCCTTTCAGACTCTTAGATTTTATTTTTCCTTTTTAATACCCTAGATCTCTTTGAAATTGAATTAAAATGACTTTCTCATAAGAAAGTTTTCTCGATACATTACATCCCTGCCCAATATGACTTAAACGAGCAGTTTGCTTGACCCAAAATGCCTCTAATGAAAAATGGACTATTCCACTCTCTTTTCAAGTTAAAAAGTTTAAGGTCCAACAGTAGAGGGATTTGATGTGTATCTCGCGTTATATCGTATAAGTGCGATTCGATTATGCTGGATGGTGTTAGAATGTGAATAGTGTTAATGGTGTCTTGAGTTCGTCGGTTTCATTCCGAAAATGTCGATAATTCGATTGCCTAGGAGCTAAACATTGCTCAAAAAACAGTTTGGAACCATCTGAGAAAGGCTGGATGCACAAAGAAGCACCGTGTATGAGTGCCATATAAGTTAACGAGAAAAAATCTCTTAGACAGAATTTCCATCTGCGAATCGCTGGTGAATCGTAAATCAATCGACACATTTCTGAAGTAGATGGTGACTGGTGATGAAAAGTGGTCAACTTACAGCAAGGTCGAATCAAAATGGTCGTGGTCGAAGGTACACAAACGGTCTCCAAGCCAGGGTTGATAGCCAGGAAGGTTTTGATGTGTGTTTAATGGGATTGTCTAGGAATCATCTGCTATGATCTGCTTCCTTACAGCCAAACTTCTAATTTGGAGCTTTCAGCAATTAGACTGCCGCAAAAGAAATAATCTCCCAGAATCGTCCAGTTTTGACCAACAGGAGGGGATTATGTTTTATCAGAACAGCACCAAATCACTCACAAGCGAATCGCCAAAAACTGCGGGATTTTGTTTGGGAGGTTCTTGTGAAAATCGATTGTTCCCATTTTTTCACTGATAGAGACAAGGGTTTCTATGAGAGATGCCAAAAAGTTATCTAGCAAAACGGCACAAATTTTTCTAGACCATATAATGACACAGCTATTTTATGCCGGGAATAATGCAATAAAAGAGCATCAAAAACGATTAGAAATCATTTACTCCTCATCGAAGAATGGCTAGAAAACTGGAGAATTAAAGTTAATGACCAAAATTGTAAACACGTCACATTTACTTAAAGACCTCAATCATGTCCTGCAATTCGCTTAAATGGTATAAACATTCCCCAAGCAAATGATATTACATATCTCGGTGTACACTTAGATAGACGTCTCACTTGGAAGAGACACATAGAGGCAAAAATACTACACATGAAATTAAAAGCAGAAGTTTAAATTGGCTTTTAAATAAAAACTCCGTTCTAAAACTGGACTACAAAGTCCTTATTTACATCGCAGCATTAAAGCCAATTTGGATGTACGGTATTCAACTGTGGGGTACGACCTGTGCAACTAATATGGATGAAATACAGAGGTTCCAGTCCAAAAATTTAAGAGCACTAACGGGCACATCATGGTACGTTCGTAAGGCAAATATTCATAAAGACCTTGGTATTTTACTGCCTGAAATTTTTACTGCCTGCAATTGAAAGAAGCAGGACGAACTACTTCACAAAGCTGAGAAATTATCCAAATCCCCCAGCTAATGCTTTATGCAACCCATCGAGAAATTCCTGCAGCGAAGAGATGTTCCCGCCTTCAAAAGAGAGCGCCGTAGTTTGAACAGGGTTCAGAGATAAATAATTCGAGCTATTACGTTTGTAATTTAGTTTTTAAGATTTGTACACTTACTGTTAGGCTTATATTATAGCTGGTCCAGCAAATAAATTAATTGTGCATAAAAAAAAATATATATGTCTGGGAGAGACGAAAAAACGCCCAATGAGATATGTGGGCAGCGAAATTCTCTACAACGAACTTTTTCTAGAAGAATTGGCGAACTTTTTAAAACCATCTCATGAAGTATTAACTCTTTTGAACCCTACAACGCCGTCCATCCAACGATTTTAACCGAGAGATCGCAACTTAGTTGGAGTCCATTTAGCAAGGTGACTTCGTTTTAGATTCTTTAAAGGAATTTGGGGGGGATTTAAAGGATAAATTAAATTATACCAAAATCTTTAATAGACTCACTAATAGAGCAACCTTGGGAGGCAACATTTTCTAATTTAAAAACACGAATTATATATATTTTGATTTTAGTTCGATTTATTGAACCTTGCCAACAACGTTTACCAGAAAGAAGCAGCCAAGGGAGCAGCAGCATAATGGGACACAACTGGAGCAGACAATGGTGAAGCGACGTAGGAGGTAGCAGCTAATGGTGCGGCTAAAGGAGCAGCGGCAGCATAGCGGGCAACAACAGGGGCGGCTAATGGAGCGGCAGCAACAACGGGAGCAGCGGCAATGCCATTGTAGTTTCTTGCGATCACTTGGCTGCTGGTGGCGGTCACAACAGGAGCTGGAGCGGCGACAACAGCAGCTGGAGCAGCGTAGGCTAAAGGAGCGGCAGCGAAGATACCAGGCTTGGCAGCAGTGCAGGCGATGAGAGCGAAGAGAACAACGGCCTGAAGAAATACAGAAAAATATACAATATTATAAGTTAATGTTAAAAGATAGTTTCAAATCTCCAAAACTTACGTATTTGAACATTTTTGTTTATAGCTTTTTGTTTGCTTGTTTATGGTTTGATTGTTGGAGATTGTTTGATGTCTTCTGATCGACGACTGCCTAGTTTTATAGCGAATGCGGTTACTGAAGTTAACGGTGATATACTAATATAAATTTAACTACTTAAATAAAATATTTAATTGCTTATTTAGTTCCAATAACAAAAGATGCATTTAAACGCTAACATCCAACTCCAACTTTTTACAATTCAGTGCTTTTCATTTGAATTATTTTAAATAGTGTTCACTATTAACAATCGAAAAATGTTTTGCATTCATCATTGAAAAAGGCAAATGCGCATTAATTTCAGATCACGGCATGCATTTGTAATTTGGGCGTCTTCGGAAATTTACGAAAATGTTAATAAGTCAACAAAATGTGAGGCGTAATTCCAATTCAAGGAGGACATATGCTGTGCACAATTATTACTCATAATACCGTTAAATAATAAAACATTGATTTTGATTCAACACTTTCTTGGTTTTTCGTTTAGGATCTTTACGTATAAATATCAAGTCAATTTTGGTAGTTTTCATCAAACAAATTTTAGCTTTTGTTCAAACAACTGCCACAAATCACAAACCAAAATCAAAATGTTCAAAATCGTAAGTTTTCAAAATTACCCAAAACAGAAATATTGATTAATTAATTATGAACTATCGAACATACCACTTCTTCACAGGCCGTTGTTCTCTTCGCTCTCATCGCCTGCACTGCTGCCAAGCCCGGTGTCTTCGCTGCCGCTCCTTTAGCCTACGCTGCCCCAGCTGCTGTAGTCGCTGCTCCAGCTCCTGTTGTGACGGCCACCAGCAGCCAAGTGATCGCAAGAAACTACAATGGCATTGCCGCTGCTCCCGTTGTTGCTGCCGCTCCAGTAGCCGCACCTGTTGTTGCCCGCTATGCTGCCGCTGCTCCTTTGGCTGCACCATTGGCTGCTGCCCCCTACGTCGCTTCGCCATTGTCTGCTCCAGTTGTGTCTCACTACGCTGCCGCACCGCTTGCTTCATCCCTTCTTTGGTAAAGAAGCGTTTGTTAATGAAAAATGTAAGAGAAGAGATCTATGTGAAATAAAATAATTTAAACGAAGAAAAAACTATATTTTGTTTATACCAGTAATATTTAGTTAGTATTAGTTTAAAATAAATAAATATAGTGAGTGTAAATATGCGAACTGGAACTATGTAAATGTTCATAACTTCTCCCTTTCCATGTAAAGTGCTTTTAATTGTGATTGCACATTATTTTCGTCTCTTATTTACTGCTAAAAGTGCTTATAAAATCTTTCTTATTTCTGCAATCTCTTCATATTTCATTTCGCTGCCTTTATTAAATTAAGTCTATACTTACAACAGCCCAACAGAGTAGATAGTACAAAATTACTTACAGATAATACTTACAGACTAAATAAGGGAAAAACTAAAAATAAAAATATTTTTCGGCCGAGCTCCTTCCCCACTTGTGGTTTTGCGTCTTGATGTTTTTCCAACAAATGGAGGGACCTACAATTTATATTAAGCCGCCTCCGAACGGCTGGTGTATTTTTTTACGGATAGCTTTTATTTCATGTCCGAAACACTCTCGTAGGGGTGGACATTCCCCACCGTGGGGCGACTGAAATTAGTAAATTTAACTTATTTTTTTTTATTTAAATTAATTTTACATAACCGGGATATGAACCCGAGCCTTCCGAATGTCAGTACGCAATGCTAACCACTCGTTTACTGCGGTCACCAACTAAGGATAATAGCAACTTAATTTACAAAGAAAATCATCTCTTGAAATGGCGAAGTCTAGATCAAGAGTTTTATAGCTCACGTTCAACTCAGTCAATGCAAAAATAATTGGCGCAATGTTGCAACAATTTCATTGAGCTGTCTTGACATTGAGTGGAGTTTTTCGCGGAACATTGAAGCTAATCTGTGAGCCTACATCTAGCACTGTGTGGTGGTACTGGGTTAGGGAAGTGCAGTGGTTGAAGGGCAAAACGGGCAAAATTTCTATTGGAATGTGTTGAGTGTACTGCATTCCATATTATATAGGCATATTCTAGCTTTGAACGAACTAAAGAGTTGAACAATATTTTTGTAGTATTAGGATCTCTAAAGTCCTTAGCGTAATGTCGGAATAATGCTAAAATTGCAAAAGATTTTGGAACCAATGTAAATTGGTTAACAAAGAAAGAACCACAGTCAAATATGTTTCTAGGATACGGAATTCTTTAACTTTGAGAATCTTCACATTAGAAATATTATGTGCAGACGGGGAACGGTTTTGAGATTTCAAAAAAAGTAACATGGAAGAAGCATTTCTGAATATTAATAGAGAGATTATTTTTGATATTCCAAAGAGTTAAGTTATTTAGATCTTGTTGTATTAAATTAACATCAATTTGTTTGCTGAAGAGCTTTGTGTCATGGGCATAAAGTAGAAATTTCGCATGCTTAAAGATTAGGCAAAGAATGCACCCCTGGGTCGCTGAGAAAGCCCACAACTTAGAGCGCTTAGTCTCAACGAACGAAACCCTATTAGACAAGGGAGATTTCAACTAATAGAGAGATATTGAATTAAAACCTAAGCACGGGAGTTTCTGTAACAGAATATTATACCAAACCGTGTTAAAAGCTTTGTAGAAAATTAGTATCTACTTGCCAACCAGGCGTCAAATTGGCATGCATTATTGGGAAAACCCTACTAAATTAGTGACTGTAGAAAGGCCACCTAAAAAGGAAGCTGTGGGTGTTAAGTTCTTTTAATAGCGAATAACAATTTACTATCAAAAACTTTTTCAAATAGCTTAGAGCAGATAGAAAGTTTAGTAATTAGTCTGTACTTCTTTACATTATTTTTATTGCCTAATTTAAGAGAGGCCTTAGAGATGTGAGCTTCCTAAAATGAATGAAAACCTCTGTGCAAAGGGAAAGATTGAATTTATGGCTTCTGGGTTCACAAACGGGACAAATAACATTTTTTTTTAAATATAAGGTAAAAGCTCATTTGAATCACTTTTCAGCTAAGGTTTAAGAGCATATATGCCATTAATGATTTCTAACTCAGACAAAGTTATTGATCTAATATCAACTGAACGAGAGATGCCTCAGTTAAAAGACTATTTAGCTGCAGTAGAAACAAAATTTTCTTTGAGAAGCCAACAGATTGACAGACTCGAATAAACTTTTTGAACAGACATCATTGAACATCATAAATACGAGTTGGAATATTAAAAACACCTTTTTTTGACCTGATGTATATCCAGAATGCCTTAGGATTTGCTTTCAATTCATCCTCAAAACGAGTTATATACCGATTAAAATAGATAATTCATACTTACTTTTAAAATTTAGGTCATTTGTTGATTTGTAGGAATTTATTTCTTTGATTTTGAAGTTTCTTAAGATTGTTTGTGTACCATGGACACGAGCAGGAAGAGGAAGTAATTTCTTATGCAAATTTTCGGCTAAATTGAAAACAAAAGTTTTAAAACACTCAGAAACAAGGTTGCGTTCAGCGAAATGAGCTTTACTTGCTTGTGACGACATTTTACTAATTTTTTTAGGTTGTCAAATCGATTAAGTTGCGCCATCTGCACTAGAAAAACAGTTTTTCAAAAAAAGAATTTAAAAATTAAGTACCAAAAACTTTTATGAAGAAACTGTGCCACTTCACAATAAGTTTCGGTAGTTGGAATAACAGTGATGTGGTCTTTTCGACATTTACAGGCCTATTCTGTCGAGGTATTAAAATTTACCATTCAGTAAATTTTGTTACCATTTCGTATTCTGAACTCACTGTTACCCTGTAAATTTTGTTACAAGCGAAATAGGAGGCTACAAAAATATCTGCTGTTTGAATTTGTGTTGTTAGTTTCAGAAAAAATAAAAGCTAAAATGAGTAGGCATATTTTAGGCCTGGAATTCATTGAAGATGAAGAAAAAAGTACAAAAAGCCGTATTTTAAGAAGTTTCCGATACTGAAAATAGCCCTGTAATTTGTAAGATACCATGTTCATTCAGCTTTTTTTGTTGTCCAGGCATATTTTCCATAATTATGTTCAAATATTTATGTTTAATAAACAAACTAATAAAACTTTTTAATTTCTTGTGCAGCGTCTTCCATTTCGATGTGAATATTTATCTTTTTACTTTAGCAAATGGAAAATGTAATTTGACAAGAACGAAAAAAGCAGTGCTGCCAAATTTTTTTCAAACATTGTAACCAGTTCGCCAGAATACCAAATTCTATGTCGGGTGTTAAAGAAAAGTAACAAAATTTACTTAACAGGTAACAGTGAGAATAGACCTGTTAAAGTAGCATTGCGTTCATGAAAATTAATCGTTCAGTAAAATCGCTCACTGAACATGTTTACTGAGCGCTCAGTTCGCTGAATGCACCCATTATTATTACGGAAGATTAAACTCCAATCTTAGTTTAGGATTTGATTATTTATGAGGTCGATATTAATATTTTTGAAGTCAAAAGACTTGAGACGAATATTAGGAAAAGATACAAACTCACAAAATTCTAGTGAAATTGAGAAAATCAAATTAATTTGAACTTGTTTAATACTAAAAATTCGATATAGAAAATGAATCTCATTGGTGCCAAATAACTTAGTTGGAGTAAGAGCTCCATTATTAAGTAAGTGAGACCAGGCAATTTTATTATTATTAAAACCACCCAAGATACAAAAATTACTAACCGTGTTCTCATTCCCATTTCTATACTGATAAATCTCTTTTGCGAGTAATGACAGATAGTACAAGTACTAAGTAGCTCTGACTCACATTTCTCTCCCCAGACATGAAAAATGCATCAGCAATCATGGCACGTACGTAAGTATTGTGTCGTCTTTAAACCTCTGTCCTACCATCGTAACTTTGGTCAATGACAACAGTTGGTAACAATTATACTGGGGAACTATTTTTCTTTCGTTGTTATTATTATTTATTATTCAATAATTGTTTTCACCTTCTTTTTTTATTTGCTGTTGCCTTATTTCGGAAAAAATAAATAAACAAATAAAAAAGCTCATGCGGGCTGACTCCCATTCATGTCAAGGTCGCGTTCGTGCAAATGTTTACCATTTTCAAAAGTTGAGTGACCTTTTTTGCAGAAAGAATAACATAAATAAGTATTTAGTGTTTAAAAAAATGTAGCAATGTAGCTCCTCAACTCATGAGCACCCGCGGCATTGGCTGAGCTGCAAATGGAATTTGCAAGTTAGCAAAAAGGAAGGTGTGCGATTTTGCGATGGCAAATTGATCCAAATTCAACAACTATTTACTTAGATTAGAATTAACGTAATTGGGCTCACGGTATATTGAAAACCTAAACGTAGAAAAAGGTGAAACGATTAAATAATTTTCGCCTTCTTTTGCGTTTCAATTCGCGCTGTTAATCACCAAATGATGCACCCTAAATCTTTCCCACAAAAGGGATTTATTTCCTCTGTATCTATCATCGCGTATATATATATATATAATTGGCGCTTGCAACCGCTGAATCAATTTTCAAAATTCAAAATTTCGACAAATGGAGGGATCCACAGTTTATACTAAGCCGCCTCCGAACGGCTGATGGTTTTTATGAGGAGCATTAATTTCATGTCATAAATTCACTCGGAGGGGTTGACATTCTCTGTCGAGGAGCAAATATCATCAAATATCGCTGCCGCCTATCTATGAACGAGTAGAAGTCCGCACATGCTCGAATATTATTCACCTGAAAGTAAGTACAAATAAAAACAAAAATCCAGCGAGCTAAGTAAGAAGGCAAATTCTTTCTTGGTTGTTCAAAGTGTTTGAGTCCCTCCACTTAAAAAACAACTCGAAAAATAGATGAGATAATAGTTCAAGTTTTTGTGTAAAAAATTTGCAGCATGAAGGAGAATTCCGAGAACCGATGTAAAGAAGAAGGCAATTAAAATGAGTCAGCTTATTTAATTAAATTGTTCAAAAGAAATTTAAAATTATCATTTGATTACAAATACAACGTAAAAAGTGCAAAATTTTTTTCTACTAATGCTGCAACTACCCAGTGACGGTTGTCCCGCAGAAACCAACGGCGATTTGTTTTTTTCCGTAAAACCGGCTCGGCTCATTTCTCGTTGCCAGTATAGGCTTTTTTTTATAGTAATATTAAATAATCGAAGATAATGCATATTTTTTTCTCAAAAGAAATGAAAACTAAATTCAGAACTAATTATTTGTTACCATATAGGTCATGTATATTTGATTGCCTTGAATATTCGATCACATAAATTACGAGATTTGTTGACGAAAATTATATATTTGTTCGGAAGTATGCAAACACTTTGGCAGCCGGCAACATTTCGCCGCTCTCAGCTAGGTCAACAATTGTGTGTGTATCTCGCTCCTGACGTCGCCTGTTATGGACGGATGGTAAGTAAAATGGGTAGTTGCAACATAAAGATGTTTATGATGATGACTATTTTTAATGAGTGAAAAATTAATGAGAGTTTAGATCAATTTTTAAAATATTTTTTTTTTAATATTTTTTTTTTAAATATTTTTTTGTCACATAGAAAATATGTACAATATTTTTTGAAATACAAAGTACTTATTCAGCTTCGATTTTCAAATGAAGGAAGCTTATATTTTGTTAGGAGTTCGTTGAACTTAATTGCGGGCTTTCAACTTTTTAGAATTTTTATTTGCTGTGTTAACTTTAAATTTTGTCCCATTTAGCTGAATCACTGAAAAAAAATTCTACCAATGCTAGTTCAGCAACGCTGCTGCTAACCAGTAAGTCATTTTTTTTAAATATTAATATTTATTTATTGAATCTGCTTCGACAGCGGAGGCCTAACAATGAGTAATAAGATCTTTAACTAAATTAAAACATAAAGCCATTCTTTCCTTTTTGTCTATTATATTTAAATCGATTTAAATACTCTAAGAGACACTCTACAATTTTACTATTTGAGAATGACTGATTTCTAGAGTGAGGTCACGACAAATTGCGAAACCTTTTTTTACTAAATTGAGTATGAGAGTATTCAAAGGCCTGCCTTGCTGGCTACCAAATTTCTATCGCTATTCGAGTATGCCTAAGGTACAAATATAAAGATTTTTCCCCACAACGAAAACTTTGCAATAAAAACTATATAAATATTATAAAATATCTTTTTATTATTTCGCAATATGCGTTTAAAAAGAGTCATCCATCATTAATTCCGTTTCTTTTACCAAAGAAGAGGAGCAGCGGAATAATGCGCAGAAAGAGCAGCGGCAACTGGGACGGCGGAGTATTGAGCGATAACGGGAGCAGCGGCAGCATAGCGAGCAACAACTGGGGCGTCGGCAACAACGGGGGCAGCAGCAATGCCATTGTAGTTACGGGCGATCACTTGGCTGCTGGTGGCAGTCACAACGGGAGCTGGAGCGGCGACAACGGCGGCTGGAGCAGCATAAGCTAAAGGAGCAGCAGCAAGAACACCAGGCTTAGCAGCAGCGCAAGCGATGAGAGCGAAGAGTACAACGGTCTAAAAGAATATTTACACATAATAAAAACGTCATATTCATGAATTAGGACGAAAGAAAATATAACTTACGATTTTGAACATTTTGAAATTTTTTTTTTGGGGTTGCTTCAGCGGATAGTATTGAATGTTTGTTACTGTTGACCAAAATCAACTTCGTTTTTATAGTCCATGGAAGCACTTCTTTTAGTAAACTTTTAAGGCGTAAAAATAACCGCCGAAGAATTGTGATTCATAAAACATGTAGATAATTCAAGTCTTCACCTGCATAATAATATTAAATTTAAGTAAAATAATTTCTGTTTCTTCGGTATTTTCGGCGCTCCTCCACTTATCATGCAGGCCATGAGCTTATTTACGCGCTTTAGCCTATAATATCAATAATATCTGTAATTTCCAAAAACTACATACATCTCTACAAACAAGTATGGCTATACATAAATTAATGAAATGCTCTGAATTGTAATGAAATGCAAGTGATAATTCGATTAAATGTTTGATTACTTTATGTGCGCCTTATTTGATTTGTATTTTCTTAGAGGTCAATTTGGTTGCATTTTTAATGTTTATGGCCTGACTTTACTATAAAAGGCAGATTTATCCAAGCAATTGTTATCAAATAAATTTCAGCAATAATTCAAGCAGCAAGCTATCAGAAACACTAAGCCACAATGTTCAAATACGTAAGTTTTTAATATCTCACAAAGTTCTTTACACCTAATTTCTAATAAAAATCTCTCTTATTCGATTAGGCCGTTGTACTCTTCGCTCTCATCGCCTGCGCTGTTGCCAAGCCTCACCTTCTAGCCACCGCACCCTTGGCTTACGCTGCTCCCGCTGCTGTTGTCGCCGCTCCAGCTCCCGTTGTGACGGCTACCAGCAGTCAAGTGATAGCGAGAAACTACAATGGTATCGCCGCTGCTCCTGTTGTTGCTGCCGCTCCAGTAGCCGCCCCTGTTGTTGCGCGTTATGCTGCTGCTGCTCCTTTCGCTGCACCATCATTGGCTGCTGCCTCTTACGCCGCTTCACCTTTCGCTGCTCCAGTTTTGTCACACTATGCTGCCGCTCCTTTGGCCGCTCCTCTTTGGTGAACGTTGTGGAGAGATCCTTAATGAATAAAACGAAAGACTAATAGAATAATAAAATTCTAAAGCTTTTTTATTTATTTGTTGAGAAGAGTAACTTAATCTCTTAATATATATAAATACCAGCTTACATATATCTATAATTTTGATGGGACGATTATTTATTTCATATTTAAGATACTCGTTAGCTTGAATACATTTTTCTTTGCTGATAAAGATAAGTTTATACCCCTTTGTCTCGTTTGTCGTTTACGAGATCAAAATTACTTGTAGTAACACCAGTTGCTTAATCTGATCACAACCTTTCGTATTTCCAAAATATTCTATTTATCAATGGCAACACTGTTCCTGGCTCGCCATCTTTCCTTATTTTACTTTCGTATTGCAAATCAAATAAATCACGGCCAGCGTTACCTGCGAGTTTCAACATGTGTGTCAGGCAACTCACCTGATATTCCAAATCGCGCAGCCTCTTTAACGTAGGCTCCCCGTTTTATGGGTTGGACAGAGCACACTCAAATTTAAATTGACTGCCATGCTTTTATCCTGGACATTTTCCATAAAGAAGCTAATGCATGCACTTGGTAAGCAGCTTCAGCAGGTTTTTTTGTTCTTTAACTGGGCAGTCGCAATTCGTACCTCGTCATAGTCGGGTAATTAAGTGTGTTTTCCATCGCCATCTATTGGGGTTTCGGCTTCATCATCTCCTGGTGTTGCGCCTTCGCTGTTATTTAGTAGACATTGAGTATGATCTTGACATCGGCCACCAGATTACCTCCTTGAATCTTAAATGAGTATGCTCGGGTTTTTTAACCTTCTGCAAGTCGTCGCTGCTTTCTGTAGAATTTTCGAGCAGTACGCTTGTCGGTCAGCATCTCAAGCTTTTCATACTCACGCCGTGGATTATCATTCTCTGCCGTTCATGACATTCAGTTTCATGCCATTTATTTCTTCTTAAAAACCACCCATCTAAAAAATTCCCTTTCCTAAAAGATGAGACAGCAAAATAACCATAACAATGCTCCAGGTCATGTTTATGCATTTGAGGGCATACAGCAGTTTCTAAGTCACCTCCGAACGTTTGATAATTTTGTATGAAAACTGACTTCAAAAAACAAGTCTTTGTAATCCTCACAACATCCATTTCAAACATACCCACCAATGGCAAACGTAACGTACCTGAGTGTCTCCAACTTATGACCGCATAAGTTATATTTCGCTGAGGATTTTCACCTCGCTGGAGAGAATATTAATAGAAGGACTCGACCCCTACTATCTATTAAGAAATAATTCAATGTTATCAAAACATTGTTATTTAGAAGTCCCTGGAGAGACTAAGCTAATTTGAGCCGAGTGAGAAACACCGTTACAAACTATTTAATTCCAGAAATACATCTGGAGAAGTTTAGATTCTCCCGCGGCGGCCTGCAACTCTCAGGAATCAAACCCTGAAGCATGCGCATTTCTTACTACTCGAGTACTGCGGCCCACTCAGTATTTAAAAATGCCTTACAAATATATATATTTATATTTTATTTTATATTTGAATTCCAAAAATGGTTAGTCATAATTTTCATATTTAAAATAAATATGCAAATATTTCCCAGCAAAACTTGCTAGAGGACGGGATCACTTCCATTGAAGAACAAGAACCTGCCTTCTCATTAAAGGCGTTTACGGCTCATTAACCTGCCTACACTCCATATTCGTAAAAATATTCTTGGAGTTTTATTTTTAACTAAATTGATAAGAGGTGCTATCAATAGCCCTTTTCTACTTAGCAAGCTTAACTTTACCATCGCTTTAAGATCATCAAGACACTTTAGGCCCGTCTCATTATGTTCATGCAGAACAAACTTTGAAATGCACGAGGTTTTTAGATCTTTGTATAACGATTTTAATACACATTTCACGAACATTGGTTCCTCTGACTCGCCTTTCTGTATCAAACCCTACTTACTGAGTACTTTAAATAATTAAGTAAATCCCCTCTCCTTTTCCTCCATGTAATTTTATAGCTGTTTGATGTAAGAGACAAGTGTAACCGCGACCTTCCGCGATCAGTTTCAGGTTCAGCGTAGTCCGGACTGCTACTGCTTTTCGGTCACCAGTCTGTGGGATTTTTCGATTTCCCTCAGACGCACCCCTCGGTCGGTTGGGTGGGAGGTGGGTCAAGCTGCGTTCGTCGTTGAAAAAAAAGCTGTGGGTAATACAAATATATGTCTTTGGATATAGGATATTTTTTCTATCGCAGCATAATTTTTTTGCAAGTGTTTGTTGTTGGGCATTTGCACGAATATGAAAACCGTGCAATTCCTGAACCCTAGCAGACATTTCCTAGACGAAGCGAATACTCCTATTTGTGTGTTAAAGTGTGATAATTTTAAAATATTCTGAAATGGTCAATGGATGGTTGGTTGCATTCTATCTGCCTGAAAAAGTTTTCGATGTTCGGTGAGGATAAATCCGTGAATTTTTTTTTTAATTCCCTAAAAATATTATAGCTTAGCAAGTGATTTTTCAAAAGAAAACACAAGAATGTCATTTCATACCAAAGAGATTTATTCGAGGTCAGTGTAACTTCATTTCTACTCAAAAATTCTTTAATTTTCAGTTATTTTACAACAAAACTGGAGCAGCAGCGGTGTATTTCAAAGGCGCAACTGGTGCAACCGCAGCGGAGTAGACAGCTGGAGCGGCGTAACCAGCGGGCACCACAGCAGCACCGTAGCTTTGTCTAAGATCGACTGAGCTGCTAGCGTAAGCGGCATCCAAATGAGCATTAGCGTAGGCGATAGGAGCTGCGGCATAAGCGGCTGGCACAGAGGCGACGACAGGAGCAGCAGCAGCCAATGGAGCGGCGAATGGAGCAACCCACTGTGGCTTGGCGGCGGCGCAAGCGATGAAGGCGCAGAGCACAATGATCTGTGAGAAATAGAGAGATTTTAATAAAAGTCACACAAAATTGTGGTAAAAATATTAATCTTACGAATTTGGCCATTTTAGTGATTTAAGTTTTGGGTATTGCTTTGTTAAACTTTTAAAGCGTCTGTGTCTCATGCAGTTGACTTCAGTGTTTTTATACCCAAATAAATTTAATGAGAGCTGCATAATACAGTTCCGTAGTTAGCCGTTGAAACGTGTGCGGAATTTCATTTCGAATGGTAATCGGAAGATATGGACTTATGAGCGCTCTTTCGCAAACGTGAGTACATTCAGCTTTGTCTATGTATGCATGAAAACCATCCAAATATATATATTTTTTTTGTGTAAATAGAATGGCTGCGCATAGTTTTTGATAGTTTCCTCTGCGATCTCGTGCAAATATTAGAAAATAAAATGTAAATAAATGCAAGGCAACACCTCCTCATATATAGATATGTACACAAGTACTAGCTACTTAAACAAGTACATATTTGCTTTAGTATACAAATGCGTTCACTTCGAAGAAATCTTGAAAAATTGTAAGTAATAAAAAATTGAACTAAATTATATAAAAAAATATTTATAAATGTCACAATCCAATGAAAAAAAAAACACTAAATAAAAAAATAAATAAAAAAAAATATATATATACAAAATATAAGAAATTAGGAAACTAAAATAAAATAAAATTAAGTTAAATTAATTTTCTTAAATATAAAAAAAATCTTTCTTTATTCTTGAGAGAAGAAATGTTCCAATTGCTTTCAATCTACGAGAGAACAAGAGAGTCCTTTCCAATCCGCAATAATATTTCACAAGAATATCTATCATACACGATGCCACTTTAAAGAATTTCATATTCTAAAATAAAGGAAAAACAGAACAAATTTATTATGCAAAATTCATTGATACACAAACAAAAACTTAAGCTCATGGCTCACGACGCAGTAAAAAGCATTGCATTATGTCACACGCATACTGACTACATTTTACTATCCGTATAGGACGTAACTGTACGCGTATGTGTGTGTGTATGTATGATGTGATATGAATGTGTTAGCATTTCAAAAGCGTAAGAAATTACAAACAATAAGAAAACAACACGACACCGATTATGTTGTTAGAACAGATGACAAAAGTTGCGCATTTTCCGATAGTATGTACATACATATAAGAGTATACATAAACTATATATATGTATGTATGTATGTATGTGTGAGGATATAAGTACGAGTATATTGTCGAAGTGCTACTAACTGTTGCACTTTTTTATTTTATTTTATTTTTTTTTCGATATTGTTGGCGCAATGATGTTAAAAGTTTGTGTATATATGAACATATGTATGTTGGTGTGTACGTGAATGAAGGCGGCGAAAAGTAGGTGAAGAACAGCACAAAAGTTGCATTCTACACAGCTGCTGCCAACACTCACCGCCGCACTGTGGCGATATATTGAAAATGATGATGATGGAGAGAGCAATTGAGAGAATGCCTTATAGACTGGTGCCGATTGGGTGTAAGCGTGCAGAAAGAAGTGAGGGAGATGAGAGGAGTGAGCGAAGGAGAGGAAAACAATGATGAAAAGTTTTTATATTAATATCAGAAGAATTTACTCAGGAAAATAGATGTTGCGTTGACGCTGTTATCCTAGTGCTGTTGTTTGTTGTTGTTGCTGTAGTTGTTGTTAAAGCTATTGTTATTGTTATTACAGTTATTGTATATGCTACCAGCTGTTTTCTACTTCGCGCAATTTCAAGTTGCCAAATGTAATTACGTTAAGTGCAAGACTTCACAACTCACGCTCCCGAGAACATGCCTCATTTGAGTTTAGAATAAGATTTCGCAATCAACAATGTACTAAGTGTGTATGTACGTAACTATGAGTTTGAGGAAATTAATGTGAAAAGGAAGAGCGAAAAATATGAAATGAAATGCACAGGCCAGCGTAGATTTGTCTCTTCTGCAATGGCAAAGTTATTGAAGAAAGAATGAAAAATGAAATGTGGCGAAAGAGAATTTGTCTGATTTCTCTCATTTAATTGAGTTAAACGCTATTAGTTATACTCGTTAAAAAGAAAACAGTTAATATGTCTTTGACAGTTGTCAGGATTTCTCGTTTAATTTTTGTTTAAATTTTTATTAGAAAATGATCAAAAAGCAACAAATTTTGCAATTTCCACAAAATTAGTCGAATAGTCTCTCACACCCTGAGGTGTTTCTAATGCCAATTATGTCCTCCATATCACGTGCCCAAATTTTTAATATTTTCTGCCAAGGCGCAATACCTGACTTCCATTTGGACAAATTTAAACCGCGCATAGGAGTTGGTATCTTTGGAGTAAAAGAATGCTCTCTAAGCTTACGTGATTATCTCTAAGGCAGAAATACCATGAAACTTCACACGTGAGAGGTATTAACTTAGCGGATCGAATTATCCACAAATTGATCTCAGTTGAACACGAAGGTGATCCTAATCCCTTCCTGTCCATCAATAACGAAACAATTTTGCCACTTCTTACTAACTTAGCAACCTTGTTCTAACCTAAAATTTTTCTCTGATTTTATACTACGACGGTTGGCGATGAAATATTGTTTGAACAGCAAAGAAGTTAGCTGAAGACTGAGATATTCATTTTATTATCCGAAGAGCAAAAAAATGAACCTGAAACAGAGGTCTGCACGCTCTTCTGATATATCTCCAAATTATATAATTTACCACAGTTGGATATTTCAGAAAAATAGTGTTTCAGTACAAGTCAAATTCAGGAGTTGAACTTTGACCAAAGCGCTTACTCAAAGCAACCTCGAAAAATTTTCGGAATTCACATAAATATTCTCAAAATCATTTTTAATGATTCAGATAGCGTTCCTTCCATCAAATTACGTTCAACTGGGCAAACATTCAAAGAGTTATTTGCATAAGCAGCCAATTGATAAATTAAGAGCATTTCATCCAATCACCCTTCAATTAGTAGATAATTTGCGGCAGATGGATTTTTTTTTCAATCCTGTGAAGTACATAAGTGAAAAAAGAGTAGTGAATAGTATGCGTAGGGATAAAAATGACGTGACAACCGAAATTTCAGTAAAATTAATTATATCCAAAGTCAAACAGAGAATATACTGTTTTGAAAATATTATTTAAAAAAAAGTTATACTCGAATATAATCATAAGAGAACTGATTAGACAAGCAAAAAAAAAAGATACAGATTCTGCGATAATATATATATGTATATACATACATACATATATATATAATTGGCGGTTATAAACGCCGAAGCGATTTTGGTCGAGCTCCTCCTCTAGTTTGTGGTGTTCGTGTTGTTATTTTCCCAACAATAGAGAGACCTACAGTTTATACTAAACCGGGAATGGCTGTTTTTCTAATGCTCCTTTATTTCGAGACAAAATTACACTCCGAGGGGTTAACCTTCCTTGCTAAGGGCGACCGCAATTAGAAAATTTGATTTCATTTTATATTTAAATTAATTTTCTATAATTTTTGGATGTTAGTCGGACCAGGATTTGAATCCAGGCGTTCCGAATGGTAGTGCACAATGCCAACAACACGATGCCAATGCGAAAAACACCAAGAGTAATTGTCCATTGGATTTCAAAGCTGAGAATGCTGTTTCCAAGATATACGTAATCATCTATGACATCAAAGTTATGACTGCCAAATGTGGAGTAGGAGTGGGAGTTGCTTGCTTAGAAGCGAAGGTGTAGTCCTTGTTTATTACTTTGTGCAGCCTGGAGAAAGTTGAACTAATGACGCAATTGTTAAGATCAGTAATATCAATAATATTGGCATACACGTGTAATTTCTGTAAAATATTGCACTTTGTCTATTTAACTTCGTGGATATTTTTACAGCTTTAAGGCACTCGATAAAAGGTCATTCCGTTTTTAATCTCTTTCAGCCGGAATTGCAATTATTAGTGTAATTTACTCGCCTCATGAATTAGAAACCAAATCATGTGAAATTAGTTGAGGAAGAAGAAAACAACTTTATCCAATACAAGTCATATTTAAGAATCATTTTGGCCCATTCTAAAACAAGTCCTCACAACAGAGTAAAAAACATTAGTTTAACAGAATTAGTAAAATACCGTCAACCAGAGGACACACTGTCTCCTCCTGCCAAACCAAATGCATTTTGGTTTCGAATTCTCTTTCAATGATTTTCGTTTTAGTATGATTAAAAGCAAACTTAAATTATGTTAATGTCAAACATGCATTTGATCAAACTGTGGTGTAGACTACTTAGCCAGCCACCCTCTGCATAAATGAGCTGATTATCTATCCAAGCGAAAAAAACGCCAAAATGTCTTCAAAGTCAATGGCAATGCGCTAATTTAATATGCAAGTATTTGGTGAAATACTTCAAGTGTCGGTTGTATGTATAAAAGCGTGCATTCGCAGTAAAGATGACACAATCACAAATCAGTTCACTCAGCTAACACAGCAAGCGACTGCCGAAGACTAACTCAATTAAACTCGAAAATGGCGAAATTCGTAAGTTTGAAATAAATTTTAGGTTTCCTCAAACTTTACCTATTTCCTAATTTTTATCTTTTCAGCTGATTATTCTGTGCGCTCTCTTTGCCTGCGCCGTTGCCAAGCCGGGCGTGTTTCATGCTCCTTTGGCTGCAGCTCCACTTGCCGCCGCTGCCATTAATGCACCACTTGACGCAGCCTACGCCAGCAGCCGACTTGATATTCAACAGAAATACGGTGCTGCTCTGTTTGCTTCTGCACCTGCTAAGATTGTTGCCGCCACTCCAGTTGCAGCTCCGTTGGCTGCTCCCGTTGTCGCACCATTGGTTGCTGCGCCAGCTAAACTTTCAGCTGCTGTTCCGATTGCAACACCCCTTGCCTACACCAATCTTCCGTTAGATGCAGCTTCCGCCAGCAGTCGTTTGGATCTGCAAGAAAGATATAGCTCCGCTATTGTACCTGCTACCTTTGCCGCCACAGCAGTTGCTACACCTTTGGCTGCTGCTCCATCCAAGCTCGTGGCTTCCGCTCCATTAGCTACTCCAGTTGCCGCTCGATTGGCTACTCCGGTCGCAGCTCGTCTTGCGTATACCAATCTGCCATTGGACGCAGCTTATGCTAGCAGTCGTCTAGACCTCCACCAAAACTTCGGTTCCATTATCGTGCCTGCTGCCTCTGCAGCTATCCCAGCTAAACTTGTAGCACCAGCAGCAGTTGGTGCTCCGTTGGCTGCCCCAGTTTCTACTCCTCTAGCTGCTGCCCCAGCCAAGCTCGTAGCCTCCGCACCGGTAGCTGCTCCTTTGGTCGCTCCAGTTTCCGCACCTCTTGCCTACAACAACTTACCTTTGGATGCCGCTTATGCTAGCAATCGCTTGGACATTCAACAAAACTATGGCGCTGCCTTGGTCCCAACTGCTTTCGCTGCAGCTCCAGCTAAGATCTCAGCTGCAATTGCTGCACCATTATCCGCTCCAGTCGCGCCGGTTGCACCGCTGAAATATACTGCGGCCACACCAGCTCTTTGGTAATTTAGATTAAGTGTATGGATAACTGTTTGAAAAAGATAAATATATGTATTTAAAATGAAAAGAAAACAGGATTTATTTTGTTAGTTACTCTGGCTTATGTCAGCGCAGAGAGTTGCTTATTCTATTGTCTTATTATTATTCATTTAAGTCCTCTCAATAGTAAGTGCTTCCATTTGGAATATGGCAACTCTTCGTTGACACTAGTTGAAAACCTTCAAAATGGACCTAAGGACTAAAATAAAGTAAATGGCCAAGGGACCAAAGCGACTGCTTCAATATCTAGAAAATAGGAATGCTCTTCTTTCTAGAGACACAATTAAGGGTGCAGCTGTGCATCTTGGTGTTATGCAGTGTGTCTGGCAACATTATGGTGGTAATATCATATCTGTGGGACCCGAAAAGTCAGCCAGTTTAACCTAACCTAATCTAAAATAAATACCAAATGGGTATAAATATATTTTCCATTGAAACTTGTAACCCATCGTTTGATCTTTAATGACTTGTACAGCATTGTAATTATGTTTAAATTAGGAAAAATATTGGAAAGATTTCCAAAAGAACGACACAGATGAAATTAGATTTAGCGAAACACAGCTCGCATCAGACAACCATACTAAATTCTTCAGGCCAAGTATTAAGGGTTGCCTATCTTCTATAGAACGAAGTAATTCAAAGAGCTTTGACAGCATCTGCATACATAACAATTTTAGAATGAGTAACCACATTTGGAAGGCCATTTATAAACAGACTTTACTCCTTACTCTCTGTTAGTCAAGTATGATGAAATCTATTTGAGGGAACCTTGGGGAAACCCAAAATGAGAGAGTTTAAAATGAAGTAGCATAGCGATTGATTGCTGACATGTGCGAAGAGTTCAGTTAGATTCAATAAGGTGTATTTACAATTACAAAGCCCCTGCTGTATAACGTCAACAATTGGTGGCATGCCATGTTAGGTGCTAATCGTTCTGTTCTTCATTAGCAGGTGAATGAAGGGCGGTCGAGTCAGTGTTCGCCGCGTATTCAGAATCATTTTCATGGATGAAATAAACACATTAGTCTTTCGCTTTGATTCCAAAACTTTTGTTCAGTAATATCTCGGGTATCAAATAGAAATCTTCTTATAAAAAACCATCAGTGGTTTCAGTACCAAAGGGTAGGTATTACTCCAGTTTCTTCGCACACGGTCGGACATAGCCAACGATTGTGAATATCTAGGCAAACAGATGTTTTCAGTTCTCCAGTCATTTCTGGACCGTTCTTTGAAGAAACCTTTTCTGGAATTATTAATAATAATAATAATAAGTCCAACGAACACCCCACACTCGCCCAACCGCCAGGCGAAGCGTGTGTTAAGCTACAGAAAAAATAATTATTCAAGAACTGAAATTTAGTAGTAATGGAATTTTAAATTTTAATTGTTGAGAGAAGTAAGAATAGTTGTTTGATGCTGAAAAGTGACTTCAATGTAAAGGTTTAAACTGCCAAGGAACATTAAAGTTTACCTCAGATAAGAGCCATGAAGGACAAATTGATCCGTTAAGAAGTTTCTCTACGAACACTGCACCTAACATTTCTCTTAGACTTGTGAGAGTAGGTAGATTCAGAAGCTTTAAATGGTTGGTATAGGCAGGAAAATTTTGCCCATTAGTTGCAAAAGGGTCTTTAAATTCTTTTTACCATCTTTGAACAAAAACAAAAGCATTTTTAGCTTTTAAGACAGTGGTATTGGTATGAAAAAGGAAGTTGAGCTTAGGTTCCATCATAACCCCCTAATCAACAAAGTTGTACACTTGCTCTAGACTACAGTTATCAATTATATAAGGTTGAAAAAGTCTTCGTGAAAAGCACATGGTCAGCACATTAAAGGCATGTCGTTGTTATCACACCCGATAGCTAAAGTTTCTAGATCGCTTCGTAACAAACATCTTTTATCGAATGAGATGAGATGATGACACATTGATTAATTGTGATAAAGTTTCCTTAAAATGTTACACATTCTGTTCTATTGCAGAGAAACGAGGAAACCCATTGAAGAAAGCCTGGTTGAAAGTCCAGAAGATCTAGTTTATAGATGAGAATTGAGTGATTAACTCTATCGAATGCTTTACTGAATTCGGTGTAGATAACGTCAGTTTCCTTATTATTTTTAAAGGCTTTGGGTATATGTGGTACAAGCTCCAGCGATTTTGTAAGTGTTGATTTCCCTTTACAAAACCCGTGTTGGGAATTGGATACCACTCGTATGTCTTTCATAGCAGACTGCTTCAATATTGTAGAGAACACAACTTGTTTGAGAGAGGAATTAAAAAGTTGAATTAAGGCAAATACAGATTTTTTGCACAACTTTTCCGAAAGCATATATGGACCATAACTGAAAGAATGTTTTAGATTCGACAAATGATAAAATACATCTTCCTCAGAAAGAGTTGGAGAGTTAATTACTATTGTTGACAGACAGACAAGCCACTTCGACAGTTATTTGAATAATTTGATTTCAAAAACCGCGTGAATATATTGGAAATACTTCGTCTGTCACATGACATAGTACATTTGTATTTTATGGCGGACGGAGGGGGAGAAAGCTTATGTTTGGAGTTAAAAAAATTTTAGTACAGCCTTGGATTGTGTATAATATTTTTCTTAACTTTAGTTTTGTAATCATTTTAACAATTTTTGGTTGAGTTCAAGAAATCTTCGACTAAGGGACGAGTATTTTTATTTTAAGTACAGTAAGTGTAAGGAACATTTCTTGAAAGTCTTAAAAGCTTTTTAAACAACATAACGCCTTTGTAAGCCATGAAACTCATGTGTTTGATTTAAAGACCAGGCTTTTGAGGTACACATTTTTCAAAAAGAGAAATAAAGCTACTGTTAAAATGTAAGACATTTGCTTCAATATTATCAGCATAACTTGGCCAAATAAATTTTGAGAGCTCCTTGAACAATTTTTTAAAAATAGCTTTCGCAAAGTTAAACTGAAAACTAGAGCTAAACGTAAAATTATCAGCCACAAGTTTACTTCTGAGTTCAAATGTTATCTCCAAACAGGGCATAAGAAGAGGATCGCTTCTAATAACAGAAAATTTAGAAGCATTATCCACAAACACCAAATCTAAAATCTTATCGAAGTGGTTCGGAACTAAATTAATTTGATTGAGGCACAAGTTGGACTGTTGTTCCAAAACCTCATTAACAGGGGGTATAAGGGGATAAGATAACGCTATATATGTATAGCGAAAAGCACTGGTATGCATTTAAATTCCATGGATTCTAAACCCGGAACAATAACTTCTTCATAAGGAATTAAAGAATAAGCAGCGGGCAGAACCCCACCTCCGGTTCTGTTGATTCGATCAGTTCTATAAATTTGATACTCACAAGTTAAAATTTAATTTACAAACTCGTGAGGCTTAAGCCATGTCTCGGTAAATGATTTGCTGTTGGAATTACACTGTAGACTCTTTACATGCGAGTCAATTGACTTGCTTTTAATACCTCGAACATTTTAATTTAGCAATATATTTTTTCATTGTTTGTAATTTAGTTACGAAATTGATTAACACATTAAAGAAGCATATAAATGGCAACCCTAGAATAAGTGTCTTCATTGACAAGTTGGCAAAAATTGTGAAATCCTTTTGCCTTCACACAAATCTAACAAAGCATTATTGGCGAAGGTGCTAGTACATACATATTTACAAATATCTAAAAAAAATGTTAAAAACTGCCCTAAGGTACCCAAAGCCAAATGAAATAAAAGGTAACACCGAATGTACATATGTGCATATGTGTTTATATGTGTGCATAAATACCAATCACGCACATTGAAAACTGAATGAGCCAATGCGTTTGGATGAAAGGGAGGGCGAGTGAAAAAACCCGCGTACGTGCCGGGCATTCTTAAACGAGCCGAAGACGATCCGGTGGCGCGTGGAACTAACAGAATATCTTTCGCATTGTGCGTGGTCAGTGTTTGAGCACATTTATGTACAATACATACGTAGGTATGTCTCCCCGATTGTGAACTTGAAAACAGGTGTTTTGAACCATCGAAGAATGGGTATAAAAAGTCAAAACCGTTAACCGATGGACATCATAAGTCAGCTAGTCTTCAAAGTAGAAGCAACTTGAAAACTTAAAAAACATCAATCAAAATGTTCAAATACGTAAGTGGCAGTGTTCGAAAATTATGAATAAAAGCAAATTAAAAAAAAAAACAAACTACCTACGCACAGTTGGATTAATTTCGTATAACTTACAAATTACTTTCAGGTCATCGTTGTCCTCGCCACCATTGCTTGCGCCGCAGCTAAACCCGGTCTCTTGCACGCTCCACTCGCGGCCGCACCGCTCGCCGTTGCCGCACCTGCACCCATCATCACCGCCACTAGCAGTCAAGTTGTTGCGAGAACCCACAATGGCATCGCCGCTGCGCCTATTGTTGCCGCTGGCCCCGTGGCTGCTCCTCTCGCTGCTGCACTGCCCGCCAGAGTAATCGCTCCCGCTCCACTCGCCGCACCGATTTCGCCCTTCGTCCGTTACGCTGCTGCTCCATTTGCTGCTCCAATCGCACCAGTAGCTCGTTACGCCGGTGCTCCAATCGCGCCGGTAGCTCGTTACGCCGCTGCTCCTCTCGCCGCAGCGCCCATCGCCCGCTATGCCGCCACTCCTTTCGCTTACTCCGCCCCACTGGCTGCTCCTCTGACTTATGCTCCCTCATATGCGGCGCCTTTGAACTACGCCGCCGCTCCAGCGCTTTGGTAATAAGGCACACGTTGACTGATTTGGATCAAAAATTAAGTTAAGATTGCATAAAAAATTATGAAAAAGTAATAAATATAGACTAGAATATATATGTTGTAGTTTTGATGATTTTTGATTATGATTTTCCTGACAGTCAGTAAATTCGTGTTGAGCCGTTAAACCTCAAATCAAGTTGGAATGCACAAAATCTATGACTCACATAACGAATAATTCAGTTGATAATGGAAAAACTCAGTTCACTGATGGTAAACCTCCTTCTAAAAATAGTTGACTTGTATCAGCAATGAAACCGGCACTCCACATGGAGACCCCTATTTTTTAACAGATCTGTGGTGCGACTCAGTAACTTTTGTCGACACGAATTATAGGATGAGGGGTACGAACCACCACATCTTAGGATAAAACCTATGCCAAATACTCTAAAGTCAATTTTGTTTATTATTTTCCTTTTTTCATATACAGCCCTATTCTGAATAAAAAAAAACTCGGGAGATTTCTCACCTCTCCAATCATAAATAAAAAAGTTTTGCGAATTTTTCTCTTTTTCTTTTTCCTCGCATTCTAAGCAAACTTCGAAAATAGGGAAAAATTCCCAGTGGAAAAATGTGGCATCACCAATGCAAACTCGGATTATTTCAATATTCTACGAGAGTTTTTTCACATATAAGTTGTGTGGAATTTTTTATAAAAACGTGTATGTAAGTATTTAATAAATATAACACAAATAATCGTATTAACGGCTGCAGAAACAACGAGTAAAGTACAGTTACAGTTGCTAGTAGAGCTGATGGAACCTCAACCGGTTATAGACCAAGGTTTTTTTTCAAGGTAATATAGAGGAGTAGAACCAATTTTGGGAGAAGGTGAGTAACGAACTAAATACCGCAGAACCGCCTGTAAAAAATATTGTGAAATGGAAGAAGATAAAATTTTTTCCCGTAAAAGGCGATTTCTAAATACGCATTGTAAGCTGATCAAAATAAATACGTAAAGCAGGAAGTAAACCTCATTGGGATAAAAGAGTCGGTGGTAGACTTGCCTGCGAGGAATTTTGGATACCAGGAGTAGGAGACCTTGTCGAACGACGTGGATATTTACCTGATTTTATAATTTATCTGTTTTGAATAAAAATTCGTTGCCATTCTTCATCATTTGCTTCAGCAGGCACAGCAGTACAACAGTATTCATAACTCTAATTTAATTTTTGTTTTCAATAAAAATTATTTTTCTCACCAAATTATCAATGATACCAAGCAGCTGATTTTGAAAGAAAAAAATCCTATTCCCAAAAAATTATTTTCCCTATGCATTCCTTTAGGGGATTTTATTTAGAATTGGGCTGATACCTTATGTGATTTTCCGATCTACTTTACTTAACTTCAAAGTTCACAAAATATTAATATTTTTTCGAAAGCGTCAGCGCTTTGAAAAATATTCGTCGCTTAGTTAGCGATTTGTCTAGTAGCTAACGACAACAGCTGATCAAGGGATAGCGAATATCGTTAAAATTATCGCTAAGATATTTGAACGATCCGAAAATATTTGAAATGTGTTTGGCGAATAACAAAATCGTTATAATACGATAGAGAATCCCACAACTGATATACGATGATATTTATTATTCAAATGCAATCAAATCTTATAAATAAGAAACCTCTGTTTTAAATAGTCAAAAGTCATTTGGTGATCTCTGCCAAACTTGATGGAAATAATAGTTTTTGTGAGTTTGAAATATGAGCCGAGACTACTTATATGATAATTTCGTACTTAGTCGTAGAAACTAGACTGATAGGTTGCAATAACTTTAGTATGTTCTAATTATCTGCTTGAAATGATTGAATTGAGACCTACATGTTTTACAAATTTGTGGACTTAAAATCGAATCTCGAATCCAATCGGATGGCGCCACCTGCAAGTTGTGGCCAATTTTTGTAGCGATTATATATTTTCTGACAACAACATTGTTTTTACCGCTTCTATTTGTGTTAAATAAACAACATTTTCGAGAAGTTTTGGTTTTCTAACTAAATTGCAGCGAAAGCCGATGGAAAGTTTGTGCAAGTTTATGGTGAATCTGCTTCGACCGATAAGTCAATTAAGGAGTGCCCTCGGCTCTAGCTAACCCAAAATGTTTGAAGACGAGGAGGCTTTCCGTGCTAAATAGGCGAAACCATTGATAAAATATTGAGTGGGAGCCGCGTAATGCGTGAAAAACACCCAGAAATTATCGAAAGGCTTTTTCGAGTCAATGTTTGGATAGAGATCATAGAGGCTAATTTTTGAGAGATGGTATTCGAAAATTACCAGAGAGATTGGAAAAAGTAGTCGGCTCCCATTTATAATACTTTGAATGATGTTTTTTCACTATTTCCAATAAAAACCTGACTAACAAAGATTATCAGACAAGCCGACCCCATATAAGAGCTACGTTGAATCAACGAACTTAACATTCAATAGTAATGAAATAAATTCATAAATCTCGACCGCACTTGTAAAGTATCATAGTATTAGGGAAATTTACCAACAACTCAAAAATGGCGGAATTTAAATAACTGTTGATCCTGACTCTGTGAAACTCAACTACTACTCAACTACTAAGCTACAATACATCTGTTTTCGACAGATTTTCATACTTGAGATGAATTAGTTAGTGTAATTGTATCCAACTTAGTCAGCATAATAGTTTTGGTGAGGCCCAACCACCAGCGAGTTATAATTTAATTTGGTCTAAAGCAATCCTACCTCCCATATAAGACATCCCTACATTTGAGATACGAGCAAATACTAAACAAAAAATGCCGTTTAGGAGTGTTATTCCGCAATCTTTCAATCAACTCGGGTGCACTGTGCTATTAGTGCATAAATACCACAGGGAAGCTAAGTTAGTGCGATCCTTTTAAAAATGGCTTGCCACTTTCGCATAAGACAATTCAATGATTGCTCTCGATATTTCTAAGATTCTGCTGTGATTTCCTGAGTCATCTTCACCAAGAAAAAATACGCCTTTCCAAGTATTATAGGGCCGTTCGGCGGCAACAGGTAAGCGCGGGCGGAAATTGCTTCTGCGGTTGCAAAGGGCCAATTATATAAAGCCTGTGTAGACGTATGGAATCCAGTTCTCAAATTATCTAATTGAAACTCGTACAAGATTTTTACATGTTTTTTAGTTCGTTTTAAGCAACACAACTAGCAAAGGCCTAAGAGTCAAAGACGAAATCAGGAAAATATGATCTTGATATTTTAAAAGACTGAACAACCGTTTGATTTAGGATAAGCAGATGAAATATTTCGCCCCAACTGCTTTATATTCTTGACCTCCAGTATAAGAATCAAAAAATATTTAAGTTTTTATGTTATCTGCGCCTAAAATATAGAGGCTGAATGTAAATGTAATAATTTTGAAAAAAAAAAAATTTAAATATGCAACGGTGTACCGTGTATTTTACTAAATAATCTTTTTTCCAACAAACAGGTTGAATGAACAATTTTGGGCGATCTAGTTTCCAGCGTTTGCCAAACTTAGCTCTCCTTTATTTATTTTAATTTATGTTGCACCATTGTATTGTTTTTCATGTTTTTCGACTTTTCGTAACGAAAAAAAAAAATACAAATAATTTTCACCAACCTATTTATTCTCTAAATGTCTGTTATAAATACTGGCAGCTCGTACATGAAGATCCAACAACAGAGCGCCGTTATACGCACACAATTTTAACCTTAATGCACCAACGCCAACTTGGCCTCTGTAATATGCCATATTTCTTAACGCTTACGCTTTGAAGCAACAATAGCAACATGAGACTAGGGGCAGAACGAGAGCGAGAACTTAAAAAGTAGAATAATCCACTACAAAAGTAACTGTTTTAAACCTTCTCAGGTATTCTGTGTAATGTTGTTGTTGTTGTTGTAGCGCATCGAAGGTGGCTACGCAACAATATGAGCATTATGTGCATGTGCGAATATCTGTGCAAGTTTTATGTATGTGTATGTGTGTGTTTCCTTATACTCGTAAAGGCTCCGCTGCCTGTCTGCTTGCCTGCTGCGCGCACTCGCTATGCTCCACTACAGAAACAGCTTTCTGACTCTTCTACATAATCCATAATGTAGTAAGAACTGTGTGTTCTCCGCGTCCTGCGTCCCTACGACCATTTCCTTTATACTTCTTTCCGTCCGTCTTCTTTCACACACACACCAACACACACACATACTTGCACGCTGCTTCCGAAGTCATTTGTTTGTGCTTAATGGTGCCTCCTGGAATTTATGTGCCCAGAATGTTCCCAATACAAATCTACTCGACTTCTACTTCGCTCTTCACTACTTTGCTCTACACTCTATTTCTACTTCGACTTTTGTGCAGCGATGGTCGTTTGTGGGCGCAGCAGTCAGTGGGAGTCGACACTTCTACTTGACTAGAGAGAGGACTGCATTTATTGCAGCAATCGCCGGGGCTTGCTTAAGTCGGATAATACCGCCTCAAGTGCAAGTGACTGGGAGAAAAATGCTTTACTGACTTGGCTTTAAATAAATTACACGAATAGAAAGTGGAAAGTACATAGTAGACAAGTTGCTAAAATATATGTGTGTATATGTGCACAGATATATAAATACAATTATGCATACAGAATATCTGCAATGTATAATATACCAAACATACATACACGTATATGTACATATATGAATAGGGCAATCCGTTCCCACTGAGAATTAGTTGTTCCTAAACTAAATCTCTCTCGAAATTTTGTCTTTGTGGACTCGTCAACGCACTCTCTCACATACATTAGATAATAACTTATTGCTATGACGTAGCAATGGACTTGCGGCCGGAGATTAATAACCGATTAGAGGCAGTGACATGCCAACCAGGTGATAATTTGAAAATCCATTTCGATATTTTTTAACGTAGCTCTGGCTCTGGCACTACATCCATTGCCCACCTCAAGAGTTTGAGTTCGCCTTAAGACGTTATTAACAAAGCACATATTATGTCTCCTCAAGGCTGTCCCTATGGTTCAATATGAATTTATGAAATCAGCTCTCGTGCGCCTGCAGGGA